CAAAAAAGACAAAAACAATGTGAAGATTTTTAGCAAAAACAACACAAAAGAATTTCGAGGACTAGATATTATGTAATACAATTGACAGAGTAAGAAAAATCGAATTATTAAGTTGAGATGGAGTGGATAATGCTAGACAGATAGATATATGATAGATAGACAGGTTGATAGCTAATATGGAGAGATAGGTAGACAGATAGATAGACAGGTAGATAGATAGATAGACGGATAGATAGATAGATAGATAGAAAGATAGAGATAAATAAATAGATAGATAAAGATAGACAGAGAGATAGGTAAACAGATACACAGATATAGATAGATAAATAAAAAGATAGATATAAATAGATAGATAAATAGATAGATAGAGATAGAAATAGATAGACAGGTAGATAGATAGATAGATGGAGAGATAGATAGATCGATAGAAATTGACAGATAGATAGGTAATGATATACAGATAGATAGATAGAGATTGATAGATAGAAAGATAGAAATAGAAAGAGGTAAAAATATATCGAGAGACAGGTAAATAGATAAATAGAGAAGCTAGATAGATAGAGAGAGCTAGACAGATAGATAGGTGGATGGATAAAGATAGACAGATAGATAGAGATAGATAAATAGAAAGATAGAATAGAGAAAAAGATAGATAGATAAATAGAAATAAATAGAAGTAAAGATAGACAGATAGACAGAAATAGATATAGATGAATGATGAATGAGGAATTAAGTGAATGAGTGAGTAAACAAATGAAAAAAAAGTGAGACAGACAAAAAATAACCGAGGGACACGAACACAGGGCCCAAAGGCAGCCAAAGTGAGCAGATCTAGGTGGCCGATAGGGAAATAGGTGGTGCGTGCTAGGGGAAGGCAGGTGGGGGTATGAGCAAGTGACGAAGGCGGTTCACCTTGGGACCCGTTATGGGGGGGTAGGGGTTACCCACTCGACTCCGTCACCTCCGCCAACATCCCGCTAAAATTTCCCTCAACTAAACCCGGGTCTGACAGGTATTCTGAGCTGCTTACCATCCCGGCAACACCTATGATGCGAAGCCCCGGCTCGGAGGGAACATTCAGAGGAGGACTTCGAGTCGGAAGTCAGTGCGAGGATCTCTCTCGCTGGCGTCTTTTTGGGTCGAAGCCGTTGCGCATTATGTAATTTCATGTACACACGCACACACGCGCGTACACACACACACACGCGCGTACACACACACACACGCATACCCGCACACACATACCGACATACACACACATACATACCCACACATACCCACACACACACACACACACGCGCGCGCGCACACACACACACGCACGCAGACGTTTGGGTGTGTCTGAGTGCTATTATTTGCACTGTTATATTGTTTCTCTGAATCGTATTTACAAATGAATAGCCAAAACTTTTGAGATTCACTGTAATTGATGTTCGTTATTACCATATATATTTATATGATGGCATACATATATCTATATTTTTATAAAGTCTTTAGTTTCTGAGAAATCTAATTTATCATATGTTGTAGTTACGTACGTTAAGAAACACTAGTTGTACTGTTATTCATAACAAGAAACATTAGGACACACACGCACGCCCACACAGACGCACACACACACACACACACACATGTATATATGTGTATTCCATTAAGAGAGGGAGAGGGAGAGAAAAAACATATACATACATCCTTATCTATCCGTCCACCTGGCTATCTACAGATAACTAACCAGACAGAGAGATAGGAAAGCAAATACATGTCAGATTTATACTATAAAACTTTTGATATCATATGCAATCACTCACAAGAATTTGCATATAAAGAAACAAACTCTTTGACGCGTCTTTCCACGCATAATATAAGGATTATCTTAATGAAATCCCAAGCAGATATGGTACAGAAGAATTAACGACCGCTTTCTTTTTTTCCAGAGCGACGACAGGCAGAGAGGAAGCAACACTTATCCATCACCAGCGCCGATCTTCTCGAGGAAAACATTAAAAAGAAAAGAAATAATAATACTCGACCTGTTATATATATTATAGACTTCGTGTCTCCGTCTCTGTAGTTTACGGAAGCATTTAAAAAAAATAAATATATATGACTTGTGAGATCCGTGGCCAGTCTCGCGCGTCACGGGTGGTGGGCGTGAGAAGGAGGCGGAAGATGGACGGAAGGAAGGCATGGCGATCACCCATCCCGCTTCGTGGCTCGGTCGACACTGTTGCATTTAACGTCGGGGATTGGGTATGAGGAGCGGTCGGCAGAGGCGGCGGGAGGGACAGGTGGGGAGGTAGGGCTGAAGGCAGAGGAATGATTTTGTATGTGTTAGAGAGAGAGAGAGAGAGAGAGAGAGAGAGAGAGAGAGAGAGAGAGAGAGAGAGAGAGAGAGAGAGAGAGAGAGAGAGAGAGAGAGAGAGAGAGAGAGCAGTTTCACAACGGCCAATCGACGCGCCACCGCAAGCTGTGGTCACGCGGTGGGACAGCGGGGCAACAGCGGACGACGCGGGTAACGAGGTTAGTTCGTCGATATAGGTGAGGGCAGAACGCCGTCGCAGGCTGGTACTACGCCCGTGGCCTACTGCTCTACTGCAGGCGAGCTCGCGACGTCGAAGCTCCTGTCCACCGCCATAGCACCACGCCCATCTAGCCACGCCCCCTGCTAGCCGCAGGCTGTCACCGCCGGCTTGTTACCAGCGTCGATTCGCATGCGTTACCTCTATCGCCGTTCGATAGTAACACGCGTGCACGAGTGACGCGTGATAGGAGTTTCCATTCCGAAACGGAAATAGTTAATTACTTTTCTTCTTGTGCGGAAAGTCTCGTGTCGCTTTGTTATTCAAACTAAAAGGTCTGTAGCCTCTCCATGGTAGCGGTTTAAAACGTCTTTGCTGTCTCAAGTATTTCAAAATGTGTGCGAGAACACCGAGGGTTAGGCCACACCCCTTGCGCCATTTCTCGTAGTGTTAGTGAAGGGGAGTTCGCTAACGTGATATTCATTTGTTATTTCGCACTGCAGCACGATTAGTGTTGCTATAACAGGACAAGATGATCAACAGCATGAAATTCCAGTCACAAATCTCATGCATAGAAACAGCATCAGTTGCAAATTTCCATAAATGACAAAAGAGAAGTTAAGATCTGAGCACTCCTCTTCAACGTCCAAATAAGGACTTGGCGTTGGTAACAAGAATAACGTTCATGAAACATTTAAAGCGTGTCAATTACCCACTATTGAACTGTTCATAAATATGCCTCGTCAGCTACCAATCCTCGCCATAAACGGCACACCCATTTACAGCTATGGTAACGTGTGTGGATATTGCCTCAGTAATGACCCTGAGGCTTCCGTCGAATCAAGAGGGGGGGAGGAAGGAAGGAAGGGAGGGAGGAAAGAAGGAAAGGGGGTGGGTTGGGATGGGATGGGGGAGGGGGTAGCGGTATTCTCCCGCGGGCTGGAATAAACTTACCAAAGAATGTGCGATTTTCTCTCAAGTGATGCGTGACACGAGCTTGTTCCGAAGCCCAGCACCCCGACTTCGCTCGACTTCTGACTTCGCCCGACCTACCCCGACCGCCTACTCCGCCCGACGCCCGCACGCTCCACGCCCGTGTTGCACAGGTTAAAGAAGAGAATTATCAGCTGCTGACAGCTCCATCACCGCCGCACTTATGCCTATGGTGGCTATAGGCCTATACGTGTGGCTGACGTAGAGGTGGTGCGAAGCCATTAGAGAGGAAAGGAGGTTTTGTGCCATGAAAGTCAGTTTGTATTTAATAAATTATAGTTTTTTACGTGTTCCTTCCCCCGTCGCTGGTATGGTGTTTACAACCTTCAGCTTATCGTCTTATTGCTCATGTAACTAGTATTTTTCTATTTGTATATATTTTTATGCGCACATACACACACACGCACACACACACACGCACACGCACACACACACACACAGATATGCATACATGTATAATATATATTTTTATACGCACATACACACACACGCACACGCACACACACACACACACACACACACACACACACACACACACACACACACACACACACACACACACACACACACACACACACACATATATATCATCGCATACATCGGAAACCTGTTCAGACTTTCTTAGATATCATCCCTTGAGTATGAAAGTACTTCATCTTAGAAAGGCATTTCGCCATATATTTCTGAAGGTTATGAAAGAATAAAAACGGAATGTCTTTGTATATTTATTAAGTCTATCCCGTCACTGAAATAGCATCAAAATTCCCTCGTAACACCTGTATGGCAGATACAGTCGTTGTGATGAGAATTTTTGTCTTTCTTCCGTGAATAACGAATGTAGAGTTCATGATCTGTGCGAATGTAACTGCGTGAGAACCTCATGTCAGGATCTCGACGTGAAGGAATCTGAAGGAAAAAAAAAAAAACATTCTGTAATCATATACTCAAAAAGCAATAAAGGGGGCTCGAGGTCCAGCCATGGTGGACTGTAGTAAACTTACACTGACTGTTTTCTCTGAGTGACCCGGACAATCAGATTACGGAAAATGACTGGCCTCAGGCTCGCCCCAGCAGCAGGTACACACTGTAACGCAGGCCGAAGGAAAAGCGGTCACCAGGGGATAAAAGTAGCATTTTAACCTTACGTTCTTATCGATGCAAATTCAGACTCGGTGTCCGTAGCAAAGAGCTGTGGCTACGGCGCGGGTGGTTGTTTTGCAGCTTTAGAGTTACTGCGATGTCTTTATACATATTACTTATTTTGTTGTTAGAAGCTCAATTAATGTACATAGGAGTACGGTGTTTTTTTTTTTTGGCAGTCACTAACTACACCCCCAAGGAGGTGCCAAGCTGGTCGCCCTGTGTATAGCCCTTTGCTCGTGTAGGTGATAAATGTTGCATAAGTATTATATGTATCTTTCTTATCAATTGTTCTTTATACACGAATGTACTAAATATCTTAACTATGAAATAAAGGAGAGTAAGAGA